ATGCAAGATATTGAATGAATAATGGACCAAAATAAGACTATTTTTAGTGCTGTAAAATGACCAAAAACCGAAGCATATTAGGCTGCCAAAACATGCAAGAAAAGAGGACCAAAGAGGGATATAACATGAAGTAGCATATGGAGGTCCCAAACAGTGATGAGCCCTTAATAAAACATGAAGAATGGACTAAAATAAGACTATTTTTAGTGCTGTAAAATGACCAAAAACCGAAGCATAATAGGCTGCCAAAACATGCAAGAATGGGACCCAAAAGAGAATATAAAGGCAAGTATAGCATGGAGGTCCCAAATAGTGATGAGCCCTTAATAAAACATGAAGAATGGACCAAAATAAGACTATTTTTAGTGCAGTAAAATCACCAAAAACCGAAGCATAATAGGCTGCCAAAACATGCAAGAATGGGACCCAAAAGAGAATATAAAGGCAAGTGTAGCATGGAGGTCCCAAACAGTGATGAGCCCTTCTTCAATGTTGAAGAGGGGCTCAAAATAAGCCTATTTACAGTTTACATCATGCTCCAAAACAGATCACACACAAGCTAAAAATACTACGCAAGATAACGGTATTTAAGAAGGATATTGAAGCAAGTGCAATATGGGGGGCTCAAACAGTGTTGAGCCCTGAAGAAAAATTGAAAAAGAGCTCAAAAGAAGGCCACTTTTAGTTAGGGCCGGAGCTCAAAATAGCAAGCATATATGGCTAAGGAATGTTACAAAAATTGGCTTAAAAAGAAGGAAATGGCAACTCACCCTTGTAGACCAATCTTTGGTTGCTTCTTGGACCAAGTTGCAGCACCTTTAGCCTCTGAGAAACCCTCCTTGCTGCTGGAAATGGAGTGGTGGTGATGGTGTTAGGTGGTAGTGAAGAAAAGGGGATGAAACTTGGGTGTTTTAGGGTAGAAATGAGAGAAGGAGAGGGGATATCATGCAAGAGGCTTAATGGATTTTTTTGTAACCCCTAATACAAATGGTGGCCCCTGGTTATATGGAACAAAAAAAGGGAGTAAAGGTGGGGAAAAGGTGGGGGAAAAGGAGGCAAGTTTTCCCCCAAAAAATATCCCCCGGATTGAGATATTTTCTGGGGGATACAGCTATACAGCTGTAAAGTGTGTATTGCAAGGAACATGGCCGGCCACCTTTTGGAGCTGCAGGTGGCCGGCCGGCCACCCCCCCTAGCCGGCCAGCTAGGGGTCAAAAAGGTCAAGTTGAGTTAGTGGCCGGCCACCACAAAAAGATGGCCTCCCAGGTCCCCTCATCACAACCCTGTGGTTTCAATTTGGAAACTCTAAAACAGGAGAGAGAACAAGCCATTTTTAGGAGGGGTTCAAAAGGTTCAATTGGAGTTTCTGGCCGGCCATAAACTTTTAGGGTCGTCCCATGTGTGTAGAACACAAATATGTGGTTTGGGGTTGAAGAAAGTGGCCCCAAGGTGTTTAACATTGGCTCGGAAGTGAGAAAATGGGTGTCGGGGGGCGAAAATGGAATATAACTGGTTGCTAAGATAATTGCTGGCCTCCCACCCTCCAGTGACCTTCCCGGTGATGAAACTGAGGTACCTGCCAAAAATGAACGAAAACCGATGCAAAACGAATGCTCAGGGGCCAAAACGCGCAGCTCGGGGTCCCGAAAATTGCTTAAGCACCAAAAGTGGCGTTCGGCCACGAAGTGGGTTTCTCAGACCCCAAT